CTCGTGGCTGTTTGACTTCGCTCCTACGACAACTTCCAACCCGGATCGGAAGTTACGACATTTTGATCGGAAGCAAGAACGGGAGCTCGCTGGCTGTGAAGGTAACTTTCTCCTTTCGCGCGCTTCTTCGGATAAATCCCGCTCGGATTTACTAAATCCGGCTACCCCTCGGATTTACTAAATCCCGGATTTAAGCTGTAAATCCGTAAATCCGGGATTTACTGAATCCCGGGATTTAACGCGCGCACAAAAACTGTTTGGCTGGATTTAGCGTAAATCTGACTTAAATCCCGCTGTAAATCCGATACCAAACAGGGATTTAGCAAATCCGGGATTTACGGGAAAAAGAGGAAAACAGAGGATTTATCCCGTCGCGAGATTTACTGGGTGGTCAAATCCCGTTTGGCAGTTTTAGCATAAATCCTGCTAAAATCCTGCATAAATCCTGTTGCCAAACAGCCCCCCCTAAAAGAAGCCGACGCCGCCGATCCTTTGCTTCTTTCCTAAACCTTAGGAGGCCAGGACGGACACGAGTGCGTCCCTGTGTTCCTTGTTAGCGATATTCAGCGGCTTTGCTGCCAGGCCGAGAGACTATTTTTCTGTTTGTCAGATTGTTCGTCTTGATCGGCGGGCGGGTTGCCGGCAGCGAAGATGTCACACAAATTTTCACCAGCATTGAGGTCGGCTGATCTCAGCGACTTCATTGCCCCGTCACAGAATTGCATTGTATCGCTGAAAGGCCTCAAGTCGAAGACCGAGAAGGCTGAGGTATGTGATACTTCTGTCTGGATGATGCTGAAATTGCGTGTGTAATGATTATTGAGTTTCTTTCCGAGCTACCTTTTTGGAAAATAGAAAAAAATTCGTTAATATTTCTACATTGCCATTGCTTTAAAAATTTTAAAGTTCAACGCTATAGAGTCCAGTATATTAAACAATGAATTAGACAATATAAACCTTTTTTTTTTCTACAAGGAGCACTAAATATGCTGATTAAACAATTCTTGCATTATGTTGGAAGAATCTGTAAAAAAAGGGAATTGTAGTAATTCTTATATTGATGTGATATGTACGAGTACATCCATATTTGTAAGCCTTTGTACAAGAGTTAAGACAAAAAAATAACTGAAAACCATTAAGGAGCTATTTGGTTGGTCGGAAAGCGAATGCAGTGCAAAATAAATATAGTGTAAAGTAATTATTGTGTAAAGTAAATACTTTTAGCCTGTTTGGTTGGCTGTAAAGTGAATACAAGGAATTGTTTTTTCCTGTTTGGTTGGATGAATGCTGAGTAAAGTAAAATCACTTGAATCGAGTGTCCTCACGGTCGCCCGGGACGAACAGAGGAGAAGCAGATGTTGTGGTCGTTGTCTGAATAGAAGCAAAGACGGATGAGTGGGGGAATTGTTGTATTAAGCCAATTTAGGTGTTGGTCCTGCTAATTCGAAAGATTAGATATGTTATTGATATTCTATAGGAAATGGAGAAGGCTTTGCTTCCAACATCCCACATTCCTTTAAGATGTCTAAAACATATTTGCATTGAGACAAAAATTGATTGTCTGGACTAGGGGCAACTTTACACCAAGGAAAACATTTAGATAATTTAAAATTGTAAGTCTTACATTACTCAAAGTTATCTCTTATCAATATTAGCTCGTTAGCATATACTAAATGGTAATAAGTTGCCTTCATTATTATAAATGAATAAGGAATGATCCACACTTGGTTACATGGGCCCATTGGGCCGGTCATATTGCAAACTTGTTCTTGGATGCTTGTTCAAGACCATAAAGGGATTTTCTAAGTCGACATATTTTATTTGGTTTTGGAAGGTTAAAACCTAGGGAATTTGCAAGTAGATTCTCTCTCTAGTTTTTCATTTTAGGGGGGGGGGGGGGGGGTGGGGGGGGGGGGTGTTGTTCTTTGCATTGCAATATGGTACTCATAAACCTTAAGATGAACAAGTGATCTTTGATTCTTGATTGAATATGTTTCTAATCAAGCTTATTCTTAGTTTCGGCCATGTTTTATGATCTTGAGATTTCCATTTGTTGTAGGTTCTATGATATGTTGATCAAACCATTTGGTGATTTACGTGATCATTATTGTGATTGAGTTGGTTATGGGTTCGTTCTCACATTGGTCCATTGTTATGTTAATGCTGTGAATTCGATATCCCTAGCCCATTTCTTCAAATATTGAAAATGAAATAACTAGAGCATCAAGATTTCCTTCTTTAGATTTTGCGATGAATTAAAAATTTCCTTCCTAAAATCCTGCATCACTTGAAATGAAAACTTGAGTGGCATTGCCAACATATTTTTGTACTTTTATGGCAAAAGATACCCATCACAGATTCATTTTCTAATTCTACCTTGAAATGTGTCTCTAATTCATGTTATCCAATGAGAATAACACAATGGTTCAATAATTTGAACACAATCATATTGTGGAACTTGTTCAAACATTATCTCACTAGGTGTTTTGCTAACAATAAATGCATTGATCTGTGCTTTATAAAATCGTGGTTGTTCTTTGCATTGCAATATGACACACATAAACCTTAAGATGAACAAGTGATCTTTGATTCTTGATTGAATATTTTTTTCTAATCAAGCTTATTCTTAGTTTCAGCCATTCTTTATGCTCTTGCAATTTCCATTTGTTATGGGTTCTGTGATATCTTGATCAAACCATTTGGCTATTTAGGTGATCATTGTTGTGATTGAGTTGGTTATGGGTTCTCACGTGGATCTACTGTTATGTTAATGCTGTGATTTGGATGTCCCAAGCCCATTTTTCAAATATTTAGAATGGAATAACTAGAGCATCAATATTTCCTTCTTTAGATTTTGCGATGAATTGAAAATTCCCTTACTAAAATACTGCATCACTTAAAATGAAAACTTATTGAGTGGCATTGCCAACAAACTTTCATACTTTTATGGCAAAAGATACCCATCGCAGATTCATTATCTAATTCTACCTTGAAATGTGTCTCTAATTCATGTTATCCAACAAGAATAACACAATGGTTCAATAATTTGAACACAACAATATTGTGAAACTTGTTCAAACATTATCTCACTAGGTATTTTACTAACAATAAATGCATTGATGCGTGCTTTAGAAAATAAGCAATTATTAACCCCCTTCCAAAGAAAAAAAAAGCCGAAGATAATCTTGCTCGAGAACTTGGAATGCGTTCCATGATAAGGAAGTAACAATGTTTATGTTTTACTCTCCCATTTTGTTTTGAAGCATCACAATATTTTAGAGAATCACCCCCTATAAGCAAGGAACAAATGCTTAATAATATATGAAATAATCCTCTATAAGAAATGAGAGAATGCATGGTAAAGCATAGAATCATCCCATAAAAGTAAGATACTAATTCATATATTCACATAATATTGGTAATTTAATAGAATGATTTTTCCTGGAGATTACTTATGACAAATTTGGCATTAATCTTAGATTACTTTTAAAAATGCTTTCATTTTCTCAAAAGTATGTTAAAATGCGTTAAATAATTGGCTAACAAAGGGCTACAAGGTGGAGTTAATATGGAAGTATTAGTGGGATAGGGTTGTTTTATTAATAATTAGGTTTGCACGTGCCAAACATGTTGGGCTTGATTGAAGCAAGGCCAACAAGTGCCTAAAAAAACTTAATAGGAGTCAATTATTGTTGCATTTGTTTTTGAAATGTCTTTCAAGCAGTCAAGAACACAAGAATGATAGATATCATAAATGTTTTAATAATCAAGGAGAGAAATTTTTTGACTAAAAGATTCAGATTGAATTGAGGTGAAGAGCATTCACTTTTATAGTAATGATTTTTCCTATGAGATTTCAAATCCTTTTTTTTGGCTTGCAAAATGTATATTTGTAGTTGGGTCATGAGAGAGAGAGGACAAACAACTTTGTAGATCTAGGAAATCTTTGAATGCTCACATTTCATGCTATAAACTAATAAGGTTGTCTATAATTGCATTTTACATTTGTGGGTATCAGATTGACTTGCATATATATGTTGATATCATCATTGGTTTGAGCTGATCATATGACAGGTAACTCTAGGGCAAGGGTTTAACTTGTACGGATTAACACTGTAACAAATAACAACCACAATGAGTGTTGATGGACTATTACTTGACAGTCAACCAAAGCTTTTGGATGCATCGTAATGCACGAACCACGAATGTATGACATTTATATTTTATATGAAAAGACCACATAAATAGGAACTCACATTAATTCCTCTACTCATTTGCTCATTTCTTTGTATAAGTTAGCCAAACAAAGAGATAAAGAGTAGTAAGGATTTAGTTCAAGTGAAGTGTATTAAGGATGATGATCAAAAAATAATTTTCTTAGAAGATGATATTCAACAAAGATGGATGAGATATTTTGCTAGACTTTTTAATGAAGATTGTGAAATTAAGATTGGCTATAGTGACCTTAGCATCCTAAATGAAAATAAAGATTTATGTTTTTATCGGCGTATTAGTAAAATTGAAGTTAGAGAGGCTTTAAAGAAAATGAAGGGTGGAAAAGCTGTTGGACCTGATGATATTCCAATAGAGGTGTGAAAATGCTTAGGAGATGAAGGAATTTCTTGGCTTACTAAACTTTTTAATACTATTGTTTATTGGAACATGAATGACCGGGTTTTTCACAATGAGTGGAGAATGAAGTGTTTGTTACGATTCCTATTTTAAGAAATAATGTGATGAGTTTTTTACTCCAAGATGTAACGGCAATAGTTGTGGATGAATTGCTTTGCATGGTGTCTGCTTACTTTTTCTGATTACACTTAATAGTCACTTTGTGGAATGTTAACGATTGTCATGAGATTGACTTACTTTAGTGTTTAAACTAGGTTAGCCGAGGCGTTAGACTAGATTTTTACTTGGAGCCAGTGTTAGGCTCGATCTAATGGTGATTGTTCGGGCACGTTGATACTAATAGTTTCCCTCAAAATCAAATTTGGTTCATCACCGGGATAGGGTACGACTTATGGAAGCCATACATTTATTAAGAGGTTTGATGGAGAAATATAGAGAAAATAAGGGGAATCTACATATGATATTTGTTGATTTTAGAAAAAGCATATGATAAAGTTCCAAAGAGAAGTGCTATGGAGAGTTCTTGAAAGAAAGGAGTAATAATGCCTATATTTCAATCATTAAAGATATGTATGCCAGGAGGGCTATTACTTGTGTTCAAAACATATAGGTGGGCTTAAACCAAGTTATTCCCTCCATGCCTATTTGTTGGGTACCATCAAGGATCTCAGCCTTAAGCACCATTATCTTTGCTTTAGTCATGGATGTTCCTCACTAAGACCATTTGCAAGGATGTACCTTGGTTGTAGTGCTTTTTGCTGATGATTATTCTTCTTGTTGATAAGATTAGAGAGGATTGAAGGTAACTTGAATTATGGACGGTCAACCTTAGAGTCTAAAGGATTTCGCGTTGAGTAGAGTCTAAACGGAATATATGAGTGGTAATTTTAGGTCAGTAATAGACCTAGTGAGGCGGATTGTGAGGCGTGTTGGGGCGATCAAGGTCCATTAATAAGAGTAACCGTTTTTAGATATCTTGAGAATATCATAAGTTGTTCAGGAGTGACGGTGAAAATAAAAGGGGGGGATGGGGAAATTATAATTATCATGTAGAATTCACAGTATGAATATGGTTGAAGTGGAAGGAATGCATCGGGCCTTGTTATGTGATAAAAGAAAAATGATATATCCGCTCTAATACATTAGTCGGGAAATTAACTATATAGATGGGCTAATAGTTAGAGGACCTGCAAATCTTATGGTGCCGAATGTTGGCCATTAAAAGAGAAGCATAATACTAAGTTAAGTGTGGCAGAGATGAGGATGCTCAGGTGGATGAGTGGCTTATCCTTAGAGATAGGATACGAAATGAGCATATTCGTGAAAAGGTTGGAGTAGTTCCAGTAGAGATAAGATTAGAGAGAGTCGCCTTTGATGGTTTGGTCACATAAAACGGCGGCCTTGCGATGACCCGTTTAGGAGAGTAGAGGTATTAGATTTGACTTGTGTTAAGAAAGGTAGGGGTAGACCTAAAAAGACTTGGTTAGAAAATATTAGGAATGACCTTTCTTTATTAGATTTAAACGAGAATTTGACTTTTAATAGGACACAATGGAGAAAAAGGATTCATGTAGCCAACCCCACATAGTGGGATAAATGCTTGATGATGATGATGATGTTGTTGTCAGTTAACAACCCTAGTTGCCTAAATGTTTCACTCTCTTATATTTTCATCTCCGTCATTTGAGTTAACAAAAGGATCCCTTTCATTAACATGGATGTACGTAGAATTTTCTGTTATCCTCCACTGTCTAGAATGAGGTGGAAGAGAAAAAACACAATCCCTCTCTAAGCTTGTCGAGTGGCTTTCTTTGACTTCTTCAGATGGTGCTTCAACTCAATTGAAGCAACAAAAAAATTATTGTTAAATTTGATCAAAGGATTGTTGTTTGAAGTTACTTCGATCATCTAATAATGGAAAGGGATGAGAGGCACTTGGCTTTTTCAGGAATTAATGATAGAACTCTTCTTAAGGAATTTTCCATCAAGATTTTACTTGAATTTTGGCAAGAGGATAACCATTGTGGAGGTGGGAAAGCATAGAGAGTCATTTTCACCAATTTAAGCCTATGCACGAAACAGACCAGTGATGAGGACATCCGACAGTGGAGAGTTTATCAAAGAAGAGTCCGGAGATCTACGACCATGATTACACCACTATTTCTGAGCTATTATTTGCATTTGATTTATTATTGTATATTTTCCGATTTTACCCTCACTTGAGGGAATAGGTTCATATGACCCCAGGGGACACTTTTGTCTTTTGGATTTACTATTGTTTTTTGGCTATTTATAGCTTGCTTCTCTTCTTTGGAGGGAAGATGAAATATTATTATAAAAATTTCTTGCACTTGTGTCTTAATGAGTTGAGAGAGGTTTTGTGGGAGTTTGAAGTCCCTAGGTGAGGGCAACGTATCACCCACTAGCCGTAGGAAGCGTTCATGCTCCTGGTCCACCTCGCCCACCAACTTCCTCCCCTTTATTCTCACCAATTTGCCGCCAGCATCCTCCCTTGTCTCTCTTTGGCCGAAACCCCACACCCCAAACCCTAGGCTGGCTCCACCTATCCCCCCTTTCTTCTTTGGCTGAACTCCACACCCCAAACCCTAAGCTGACTTCCCTCCAACCGTTGGCCACCCATCCCCCTCCCTAGCTGTCGGCCCCATCCCCCATCCCCCATCCCTTGGATTCAAAATTGCAACCAAGTAATCGCTACTTTCCTAATTTAACTCATTGCAAGTTTGGAAAATCTTTTAAATTCAAATTTGAAATTATTTGAATTTGAATTTTCTTTCCTTAAATAAAGTGAGTTATAATAGTAAAGCCCTCCAATCATGCTAGTTCAAATTCAAATAGGGCTTGGCATAAATCTCATTTCCTTAATTAGCGTCCTAAATTGGGCAACTCCTTAATTCCCCATATTAATCCTATCCCATCCTAGCCTTTGCCGCCTCCTCTCCCTCTCTCCTCCATTATGGTCCTTCCCAATTTAACTCCCCCAAATCAGCCCCATTAATGCTTGCCGCCCCCTCCTTCCTCTCTCTTCTATTTGGGGAGATTTAAATTCAAATTTCCCTCAATCAATCTTCCCACTTAAAATTCTATTAATTCCCAATTATTCCCCACTAATTATTGCCCTATTTTTTCATGCTCATTATGACAAGAAAATAATTTAGATTTTAATAAGTGCTGGAATTAATTTCAGAATTTTTGAATTTATTTCCCTCCCAATTCAAAATCAAAATATGAAATTAAATCCCCTTCCCCTCCTCCCTATGGCCGGTCACCATCCCTATCTCCTACCACTTTAACTATTCTTCGTAACCTCTTCCTCCCTCAAGAAAGAGAACGAGGTCACCACTCTTCCATTGGGCCAACTACACCTCAACTGTGAGGGTACATCATTACATCGACTAGGTTGTACCATAATGCATCCTCCATCCCATGTGGACGTGGAGGCATCAAAACGACTCTTTCTTTTCTATTGATTTCATCCTGGACTGAGACGAATTCAAACTTGCCACTTTCGGGTAAAGGCTCGCTCTACATCCTTTGGATGATAACTACTTTGTTGGGCATCAAGAGGCATGGTTGCTTGATATTTTCCAGTCAGAGCCTTGAGTTTTGTCTTGCTTTGTGGTCTACATATAACATATGTACATCCTGATGATAGATGATCAAGATTTTATGTGGAAAGGCAGCCAAACTACATCATTTAGTTTCTTGTAGTTCGATGAGATTGAGAGATGGCAATTATGTACTACCCTGTTGAGACTGCTGTCTTGAACCGGTGGCTTCTGGACAAATTTTTGTTACCATGATGTTCAACAATTTAACTTGATTCATTGCTGCTTTGTAGACAAATTCTCTTTAAATTGTTATTATTTCCGTTACTTAGTCATCTGTTACTCTCAAGGGCTTAATTGCTTATAATTGAACTAGCGTTTGTTTCTTTTCCTGTATTTCTTATTTGAGTATGCTTTTGCAGAATGAATACATGATAAAACCTATTGGCAAGTCTCCACCTCCTGAGGTAGTAAAAGTTTCATTGAAAGACTGCTTGGCATGCAGGTAAGATCATCTTCTTTGTCTTTCCATGCAGCTAGTGGTTATTCGTGATGTAATGGTACATGTTCAATTGCTTGTTTATTCTTAGAAAACATGATTCCTATATAGTTGTTGGAAACTGTAAACATCATGGTTTTGTGGTCGGACTTGTCAGTAGGTACGTGGATATTTGTGGAGAATTACATTGGGTTGCAACAGGGAGATATCTTTGATGTCTATAAGGCACAATGGAGTTCATCTTGCTCTAGCCTCATGGCTGAGAAGTGAGGTTGTTTGGTTATTTAGCTAAAGGGGAGATGATTGAGATCAGTGCAAGAAAACTGCATGCTATGTTCTCTATTCTGGACCATTGCTCTCCCTCGGTCCTTAATAAATAAATAAAAAGGGCATAATCTTCTTGTGATGCATAAAATGTAGAAACATCTAACATTTATGAATCTATTTTGCCAAGGAATTTATTAAAGGAGTTGGGGCATTCTCTAGAAAATTTGACCAATTCTCATTGATAGCATGCTAATGTGTTAGACTGCCCAGGCACGACGAGGCGGAAGCCTCTGCCTCCCGATTCAGCCGCACGCCCCGCTTGGATCAAACAAAGCAATTTAGGAGGATTTTTGAGGGATTTGGGAGGGAAATTTGAATGTAGGGACTGTTTAGGGATTTCCTTTTGATTTGTATGCATTAAATACTTTTGTTTTCCTAGGGTTAGGACATCTTGAATTTGGCTGAAATTTGAGATCTCCTAGATTTAGGTTTTCTTTGGGGCTCTAGCGGCGTCTAGAGATTTGGGAGAGATCGATCCTCCTCTAGAATTGAGGATCAACTGTATCTTGCTATTTTCCGTTTCCATTTCATCAAATATTACAAAATTTCTACTGTTTTCCTGTTTTTGTGTGGATTTTGATAAGAAAGCTCGCTGTTTTCCGAAGATTGATAGGAAATACTTGAGATCTTCAAGTGTTTTCTATCATAATGTTTGTAGGTTGCAAAACCAGGTGTAGCATGGAAGTGACAAGCATATTGTTACATGGTTTAATTTTTTATATAATCATGTGAAGATGGAGAGTGTGGAGTTGTCATTAATACAACATTAGGGAGTAAGTTGAAGATATATTTACAAAGGTATTGCCAATGAAGTTATTTTTCAAATCTCTAGCATTGCTTGGAATGCATGTGCTTCATAGGGAGTTCATGTTGAAAACTACAAAAATTAAAGGGAATAAATGGAATATTTTGAGAAGAATATGAACCTATTGGTGAATTTCAAATGATTTAAGTCATCAAACTAAATGGTTGTAGTTATGCCTTTTGTGGCCTCACTACTATATATATACATATATTTGTATTGCACGCCCATATGGCTGCATGAAAATTTGAGAAGGAATAAGGTTGAAAGCTTGTGATAGTTTCTCTTCTCATCTCTACTCCTATGATGTCTATTATGTCATTTTGTGCTATATATTGTGCAAATCACTCCTACAAAACATCCATGCACACATTCTTGTTGTGGTAGATGTGAAAAATACTTACTGAAGTGCCTCGACCACTGCACATATACTTCTTTTTTAAACTGTATCTTGTATAACACGTACATTTTTCTTTACGAGAAGTGGGGTTGATATGTTTTGAAATTTCTTAAAAACTCAGACTAAAAAATATACTATATTCATGAAATTGAGCCTGAAAAACTTATAAATGGAGGACATGCTTGTTGATGTAAAATCTCACTCAAATAATCATTTCAAAAAGCCTGTTAGTGGGCCGCTCTAAAAAGTGTCATTCCAAAATTATGCAATCTTGCATGCATTTCAATGAGCACATTATTACCATGGTTTCAAAGTGATGTTCTTGTGGTAAAGCTCACTCTAATCATGTTGCTCCAAAAAGCATGTCATTTTAAGAGATGTACAAACTCATTACCCTGTTGCATGCATGATGCTGGGGTGAGTAGAAATGTCAAGCATTGGTTTTGAATTTTTAAGAGATCTTTAAAAAAGGAAAAGGTGAAAAAAAAGAAAACAGAAGAACAAAGTGAGAAAAAATCCAAAAAATTTCATAACATATCAGTAAAATTCAAGTAAATTGCAAAAAAAAATTGGTAACATTCTTAAACCATTTCACTCATTTTGAGGCATACATTTTCTATGTTTCCACTCAAACAAACATCGATAACCTTCCAAAATTTTGATAAATTATAAATAAGAGTAAACATCAAGAAAAATGTGATGGCTCAATCTTTCATATGCCTAGAGCTATTGCGATATAAAGGTTATCCATATGATCACCCAAGAAAATCTAATGATTGTAAGGAAGTTGCAGGGATCCCCTGACTTGGTGTTTAGCCTGATTTTGATGACATGATTATATTATAGTTACGACTTATTGTAAAATTTTATCTGATGGCTAAGTTTATGATTTTTGAGTAATAAGACATGCTCGATAAGACTTGAAATCTTATGTTAGCCACTTAAGATTAGCCGCTGCTAGAAGTTTTCTTTTCAAGTCTATTAGATCCCTTTGTATAATTCAACTCATTGGTTGTTGATAAGGATCTATTAGTCAGATTGGCTTAATTACGTTTGTTGAGTAAAACGACTAGGATCTATATGATATCTTAGGTTGATGGAATCATGTGATGTTGATTAGGTCTATCATTGTTCCTCTTTCAGCTGCTTTGAGCCAATAAAGATATATATTTTGATCTTTTCTTTTCCAAATCAAATTGTTGTCACGGTTCAAAATTATACAATTGGGTATTCTCATGTTTTTAATATGTGAGGCGAGGCATAAGGCTTAAGGCATTTTCAGGCACAAGCGTCATAATAAAAAATGGAGATAAGAAGTAATATATTAGTATTGTAACCTATTAATATATTAAAAAAATGATTTATGAACATTCTAATATAGTAAGAAGTAACAATTTACATACATATCAAGTAATAAATTGTGCAAACCACAAAGTATAAATGATAAATTGTACAAAGTAGAGGTCTGATGTAAACATTAATTGATCATAGCATAAGATTTAAAATTAAAGTAATATAATATATTAAATCAAACTAAACCAACTAATAAGTTTAGCACAATAAGTTTCTCTCTCTCACTTTTATTATCCAACATGGCAATATTCAATGATAACAAGTAATCAAAAGTTCTTAGCACTCTAATTATTCAAGGGGTCTTCATTGGAGTTATCATTACAATGAATAGCTTTCCTGACTCATCTTTAACCGAGTCCAAGTTCTTTCATTCTACCTTATCTTCTTCAATCTCAGTTATCCTCCTCTTCTTTAATCAGTAATAATCAATAAAAATTTGAGAATATTAATTAAAATTTAAGACAAATTCAAATCCTTAAACGTCTAAAGATATATTTTCTTTTTATTTCTTGTTATTGTTGGCTTGTTTTAGATGTATTTGTCTTATTTCCGTCCCCAGTAAAGGGATCAACATTCAGTTCGTCTTGTTACAAATCAGATGGAGTGACCTCATTATCATCATTCACAAACACCTCATCATCTAATGGCATATCATCATATAGTAGGGGATTCTCATCATCCTTCAAAGTTCAAACCTTTTCTTTTTTTCCAATTTCGATCCTTTAGTCTTTTTTGTATGTGATGTACACCAAAGAGTTCATCCTTAGAGTCATTAGATGATTTCTTCTTATTGTGTGAACTAGATTATAAATGCTTCAGTTGCACTCACTTCAGATGATGAGCATTTAAGTCCCAATACATCAATAGCAAAATACTGTAGTCTGTAGCTCTAGAATGACATCACCAAACTAGATCCAACATTCAACTAAATTTAAAAGAAAAAAGTGTTGTTAAAACTTTTAAAATTAGAATTTGGATCTTTCTTATTTCAATCACAACATTAAATATTAAAAAATTTCTTGGATTATGTTTTCTATTGTATCTTTAGCTTGGTGTATTTCAAGGAAAATTTTTTCTTGTTTCTAAATGGCACAAATTGAATATCATATTAAAAATATTATTTGTGTTTTAAAAAAACTCTCTAGTCGGTGTAAATAAACGAGTCAAGTTGAGCTTCACCTTACTTGTAATCCATGAGGCGTGCACCTCAAAATATTTTTGGTTCAATTTATTTTGAGGTGCATCTCACATTTTTGAATTTTAAACAATGGTTGCTACTAAAGGAAAGCATCGTTGGAACTATAAAGTAGCCTTAAATCAAAATTTCTCTCATGTCTTGCACCTATGAGAAACCACGACCTCGATTATAAAGTCCTATGTAAAGACGTAGGAGGGAAAATTCAAAGGAGGGGTTGTTTAGAGATTTTCTTATTATTGCATTCTTTAAGTAGGATGTTTTTCTAGGGTTAGGGTATCGAATGCTTTGCTGATTTTAGTTGTTCTTCTTTGTTTTGGGGCTTTAGCGGCGTCTAGAGATTTGGGAGAGCTGGATCCTCCTCTCCAATTGAGGATCCATTGTATCTTGTTATTTTCTTCTATTTATTATCAGTATAATCGTTTCTCGCTAGTGTTCCACCAAAATTCTTCTTATTTCTGGTTTTGAACCTTGCTGAAATTCAAATTTAGCCAAGTTAACTTTGATTTCTACAAGTTTATCCTATCATAGATCACTTTGAACTTTGAAGAGTGGAGATTTACATCCTAATATTTTTTTATTAAAGTTCAGAATGATAATTCAAATCAATTCTTTTTATATAGGCTTTCCCAAGGCTCTAAGCTCTCCATTATTTGGGTCAGCACAAGGCAAACAAACCCTTTAAATGTAAATTTGGGCTTTCTCAAGGATGTAAAACTTAAACCTATGTTGTGTCTGCTACAAAGATGCTAACTTGGTCACGTATGAGCCTTCCCAAGCATGAAATCACCAACAGTTAATATGTGTCAAAACTAACAATTCCATTAAAACAAAATTTGGACCTTCAAGTGGTTGTTATCCTTATCCCAATGTAAATTTGGGTCAACTTATATTCTAACAAGCCCACAAATAAAATAAAATCTTATGTGTTATAAATGCATTTCTTTGAATCAAAGCTGAAACTCATGGATGGCTGGTTGTCTTGTCATTCCTTGTAGCTATTGTTGATCATGGCCAACCTTCTACTGGTATGCGAGTTGTCATCAAACTTGAAAGCACATTTTTGACATTTACATTGTCTCCTTGATCTGCTCAAGTTATTTGAGATGTAGCAACCCGATATTGTTAATCGTGCTACTTAGACTACTGAAAGTCCTTTTATGTTGGTTTTGGGTCTATTAATATATTTTGGATGATGGAATCATGAATCAGATCTACCTCCATTCCTACAACTATTCCCAACTCAGTTAAAATGGTATTTAACTATTAACTCTAAGTCTAAGTTTAGCCTAAACAACCCTTCGTGGTCAGAAAAGTTAATTAATTATGGGGGCTTGCGCTAAGAAGAAGTCTCGACTCATAAATTTAAATAAACTCTAGCCCAACATATGACAAATCTAGTTAAAACAAACATAATCTACCTCAAAGAACACTATTCTAAGTTCTCTTATATATTGAGAAGGCTTAAGGGAAGTTGTTGGCTTTTCTTGAGTGATCATTTGGATTAAAAATTTTGATCTTGCATGACAATTATTAAATTTATTTGTAATGCATTTTGTTCAGAATTTGGCCAGTTGTCTGCTTTGAGAATTTTGATCTTGCATGTTTTTATCTATTTTATAAGAGATACTCTTAAAAGTTAGAATTTTTACATTTGTTGCTATTTTAAAACTTTCTTCAGCTAGATTTGATAGTACCATGTGATTTCACAGTGGTTGCATAACTTCAGCAGAAACAGTAATGCTCGAGAAGCAAAGTTTAGAGGAGTTTATAAGCCATATCAATTCAGAGGAGGCGGTTATAGTTTCTGTGTCTCCTCAGTCAAGAGCATCTCTAGCTGCCTATTTTGATCTCTCTCCAGCTCAGGTAATTTGCAATATAAAGCCAGGCATTAAAAGTTGTTTTTTGCAGTTGATTAGTCTTTGTTATACGTGAACAACCTTTCATCTTTTGACATATATACAGTTTTCCTTTCAGCACCTTGAAGCTTTTTAAGTGTTATGTTTTTTTCCAAATTAATCAGCAATGAAGAAATTATATATATTCAGGCAGCCAATGCATGATAAATAGTACACATTTCTGTATAGGCTTCCAACTTACACTTGTTACATGGTCTGTTATGAGCTGTTCTTAGCTTGATTTATGCATTTAAAGTTGGATTAATTTCTTTTGGTTACTTCTAATCATTGGAAAGTTCAGATGTAATTGATTTGCAATCTTAAATATCTTGTTTGACATTTGTTAACAATTTCTTATGTTTAGCCAATTGTGTTATTTTTTTTTTAAACGGGCAATGTATATTGTCTATTGATCATCTTCCTTTTTTGTTCATAACTTATCAGGTTTTCCGAAAACTCACAGCTTTTTTCAAGTCTTTGGGGGTGGAGGCAGTTTATGATACAAGTTGTAGTAGAGACATATCACTTGTAGAATCTTGCCATGAATTCATCTCACGATACAAAAAACATCATTTAGCTGGCGATGGAGAAAATGTTTCAAAGCTTCCCATGATTTCATCTGCATGTCCTGGTATTTTGCTCCCAAATTGTTTTAAATGCTGTGCTCCCTCTTTTTGTTTGTCCTTGGATTTTCACATGTCATTGAAATTGTCATGTAGCAGTTTTTCATTTCAAAGCATTAATGCGGCTTGAAAATGCATCCCAGAAGATGTGGTATATTTTCATTCCCGAGTACTTTATGATCTTTTTTATGCACATGAAGAATCTGCAACCCCGGATGGTTGTCTCATAGTGCATAACTAATCAGCTAGGACTTCATGATTATAAGGGTCCATTTAGCATCATCAAAGAATTAACCACCCTTGATAATGCTAATTTTTTGTTATCTTATAGGATATTTAGTGAATCTTAATCCAATACCATTCCTAATTTTTGATAAGTTAGCATTTAGCACTTATTTGAGCTACTCATTGTGAATAATGATATCATTCATTTATGAGTTAATTTTCAACTTTATGGTACCAATGGCTCCCATGATTGCTAAATATGAATTAATAATTTAGATAAAGATGGAAAAGAGGTGAAAGATCCTCATAAATTGGCATTATATTGATACATTATCTTTAGTTTGTGGGAGAAGGCATTTGCATCATACCATGTGTAAAAGTTTGTTAATGATTTTTAGTGAATAAGGTTGTTCAAACTAATTCTAGATAAGAGATGCGTGGATGTTAAAAGAGTGATGTGATACTCTTTCAGATGAGCCTTCCGTGACTTATTCATTGCAATCTAGATTCCAGTAACCCTTTGATCGGGTTCAGGTCCTTGCAAATGTCATGACTACCGAAACTCAACACATATCTTCTGTGTTGTTGGGCTTTATCCAATGAATGGATTACGGCCTTCTTGTGAGATTTCCTTCTTCAACCCTATCACATATCTTCCGTCCGCAATCCTTTGGGTTTTCCATTATTTAAATGATCTTTCTTTTTTGAGCAAGTTTGTTGTGATCAAGAGACTTTTGGATTGTTTTAAGGCTGTCAATGTTATATTCTTATTTTGCTATTTGAGGGGAAAACTTGATATTATAAATATGGGGTCTGAGGCCTAGAGAAATCATTTTTTATTTTTTACTTTTATTAGATGATTTTTTGGCTAATCTGAGGAAGTCATCTTCTTATATCGACTTGATGCTCAAATTTCCATCTTTGGTCTAATTTTCAATTAGTGTGATTCACTTGTTATGTTGAATTTCTGTGTAATGTTATATTTGATTATAATTAAACTATTATTTGTGCTAATTTATGTGTATTTCTAATTTTGATCGTAAGGGTGATTAATTGTTTAGATTAGAATTTGTTAATTGGAATTTGTATTTGTTATTTTGTGCATCTTAATCTATATTTGTGCATCCTAATTTCTAAATATAATTTAAATTTCAATTAATGCATTCATTTATTATATTGAATTTCTATGTAATATTTAAATTTGATTTTAATTAAACTATTATTTGCGTGATTTCATGCATATTTCTAATTTTGATCGTAAGGGTGATTAATTGTTTAGATTATTAGAATTTGTGAATTGGAATTTGTATTTGTTATTTTGTGCATCTTAATCTATACTTGTATTAAAAATTCCAAAATCATGAGACATCCTATTATCAAAGAGAGCATTGAGGAAAAAATGTAAAGGAATAGAGTTACTTTTTATGTCTCACCTCCAGATTATTTTCATATAGGTGGCTTTATGGTTCCAAAGTAGCTATTATAAAAGTTAACTTTCATTTACCCTTTCTAAACATGATAGCTTATGATGTCTTTTATACATGACAGAAAACAGTTTTTTTTTTTTGGAAATTGAAGAGAAAGAGGCTTGTGTAAAAAAGCAATCGAATTTGGAAGACATTGGCGTTAGATGTTGTTAGAAAAATAAAAGAATGTTAGATGTTTATGAGTTTTGAGTTCCCTTAATATATTTGTATTTGACTTCTTTTGATTATACAAAATCTAAAGTAGTATTAAAAAAGAAATATATTTTTATGATGTGAAAAATCATCAGATCTATGTTTTTTTTTTTGTTTTAATGCCATAGAGCATAATAGCACGAATATTTTTCACGGCAAAGTTGCAATTACAAAATTGAAAATTAGAGCCTTTTGTGACTACCAACCCATACATCATGAATGCCTCCTAAAATCTCACATTGCTTGGAGGCTTGCGTGGAGCCTTGGGCACTATTCCTTATCAACCCATGCAATTTTGTTTGAACCTTAATAGACCAACAATAAGACTAGTTGTGTCTTATTGTTTGGGTTCTAGGAAAAGACGAGGGCATGAACAGATACGTTGTGTTTAGAAATTTGATTAGACTTGAAGTGATCATGTAAAATGGCTTATGTAGTGTCAATTATTTGAATTGATTTAGCTAAATTTAAATTTAGATAAAATAATTATCTAAATCTAGGAAGATTATACAAGCTGACCTAGAAAATTAGGGTATGGGTTTTATGAATTTAGACCCTTTGAATGAACCTTAATCCTAACATAAGCATGCAGAGAAACGCATATGTTTTAACCATTTTAATTTTTGTAGAAACCCTACTTATATACCGACTTATTTGTATGAGCTATGGTTGACCAATATTGTCATGTGGTGGCAAAATAATATAGATTAGCTATCCAAATATGATCCACTTCGGCAATAACTTCCATTCGAGTAATCTTGGATTTCTTGGCTTACCCATGGATAACAAGGAGGTTCTTTAAAGCTTCATCCGCATCTTTGGTGCTAGCATCGATTGATTTATTTCCTTTGGTTGCTTCTCCCTCCTGTTTTAAATTTTCATTAAGTTATTTGGATTGGTGCTCCCTTTAGTGTTCGATGAATTATTTGGATGAGTTTCCTCATCAATGGATTTGTTTTGCTTCCCTTGATAGCTCTTCCATTGCTCTCATTAGTCACACTTATTATGCTAGCAAATCCACCATTGGGTGATGCAGTTTTTTAGCTATACTTGCTTATTTTATGCACCCAAGAGAACCTGCACAAAATCCCTCATTTCCCACCTAAGTTCAATGAACCGCCTAAATCGCAATACCTTACCTAACGCATCCAACAACTTATTTTTGCTTTGCTTTTTCCAGTCCTTATCTTATCTTTGTTCTTTGTTTAGTGTTGCACATCAACAAACTTTATATCCATTCAACATATAAGATTTGATCATTTCTCCACTCAAATCAACCTCTTAGCTGGTTCCATCTAACTTAGAATTGTTGAGCATACTTGTTGACATACATGCAAGTGTGGTAGCCATATTGGTTAATTTTTGAAAAACCTTCAGAGTTCACCTGCACAACAGAGAAAAGAGAATAGAGCAAATAGGAAGATGAAAGCAATTCTGTGCTTTTCCATTGATACCTTGAACAGTGCAATACATGCATATATATATATATATATATATATATATTGAATTCTAACATAAAGGTAATGATAACAGAGAACCTAAAGGTAATGATAATAGAGAACGTTCTCTGCCAAATCCGTTACTAGAATTCTACTCAACTAGCTGACACATGATAGTGGGTTATCAACTTGTGTTCTGCTCAGCTGTGGAACACGTTAACAGGCCCCCACAAGCTAATGGTGCGGAAGTGACCATGAGCTTGTCTCGAAGAAACGTAAACTGAAGTCGCGGAAGAACTTTGGTGAAAATATCAGCTAGTTGATCTTGTGTGCTGAGATGATGAACTGAAATAACATCAGACTTGATACAATCTCGAATAAAATGATAATCCACTTCAATATGTTTGGTCATGGCATGAAAGACCGGGTTGTGAGCTAATGCTATGGCTGAAACATTATCACAATGTAGAGGTGTGGGAGTGGTAGTAGGGAATTGAAAATCAGCAAGAAGTCGACGAAGCCAAACTATATCAGTTGCGGCCGTGGCCGAGGCCCTATACTCGGCCTCAGTAGAAGACCGAGCTACCGTGGGTTGCTTTTTGACACACCATGATAGAAGAGTATCACCAATGAAACAACAATAACCAATAGTTGATTTACGATCGAGTGGATCTCCGGCCCAATCGGAATCAGCATAAGCCCTTAAAGATGTTGATGTGCTTGTAATAGGAAGACTAAAATCAATTGTACCTTTAAGATACCGAAGCAAGTGCTTGAGAGCCTGGAAATCATACTGCTGAGGAGTATGCATGGCTTGACATAACTTGTTAACTGCAAAGGATATGTCAGGTTGCGTGATAGTTAAAAATTGCAATGCTCCCACAAGTTGTCTAAATTGCATCGAATTATCAAGTGGCTGAAGAGAAGTGCTGTCCAGCTGAGATTTGTGGGAAAACGGTGTGACCACAGGTTTGCAATTTTCTAAACCAGCCCGATGAATAATTTCTACAGCAAATGCAAATTGATTTAGATGATATCCAGTTGCCGTAGATATAGCCTGAATACCGAGAAAATGATTCAAGCTTCCCAAATTTCGGACTTGAAATTGCTGGTGCAGATGCTGAAGGAATGTCTGAAGAACCGAAGCATCATTACCTGTCACCAAAATATCATCTACATATACAAGAAGGTAGATGAGATATGAATTATGATTGTAAATAAGTAGAGAAGGATCAGCATCACTATGCTGAAAACCCCGAGCTTGTAAGTATGTCGTTAATTTGGCAAACCACTATCTAGGAGACTGTTTAAGACCATAAATGGCCTTATGAAGTCGACAAACAAAATCAGGATGTTGAGGATCTCTAAAACCAATCGGTTGTTGCATATAAACCGCCTCATTTAGATCACCATGTAAGAAGGCGTTTGAGACGTCGAGTTGAGGAATTTTCCACTTATAATGCACGGCTGCAGTAATAAACAATCTGATTGTAGGGAATTTAACTACAGGGCTGAATGTTTCAGTGTAATCAATGCCATATTCCTGACGACGGCCTTGTGCAACAAGCCGAGCTTTATATATAGCTACGGAGCTATATGAATGACGTTTGGTTTTATAGATCCACTTGCAACCCAAAATATTTTGGTCTAATGGTGGAGATACCA